AAGAGGACGATATCCGCTTCGTCATGCCTAGAGCTGATCCGTGCTGGTCGCTGAGGGAATACATCAACTTCGCGCTGTAGATCAGCTTTCACCGTGGACGAAGCCCGGGGTCATCGTATGTGGTTGCCGCAATCCCGCCGGCCGTTCCTCACTCAAGCCCACAGTGTGTGGCGCTGTGTGACGCATTTTATGGAGGACTGTTTCCTGAACCTGCAGAGTAGCATACAATGGGTCTATGCTCAAAGGCTGTTCTATAAAGTGGGGCAGTTCCAACTTTGCAAGGACAGTCTGGCGCTTCTGACTCTCAGCCTGTAAGTACATTTTTTATATTTAAAGAATTTGAAGGGTTGATCTGTTTGGGCAGGACGATCTCATTCATATCTATACACAAATTGTAAATTTCTTGTACAATTGTATGTATAATGCCAGTCACTTCAAAATAAAATTTAAAAAATTTTTTTTTAATAAAAACTGATAAAAAAAATTTAATATTTTTTTTTCATTTTAATAAAAAAACTGCTGCCTTAAATTTTTAAGTATAATCAAATTGGTTGTCATTTCAACTTAAATTACATGAAACTGACTTAAAAACTCAAGTTGAATTTCATATATATATATAGAGAGAGAGAGAGAGAGAGAGATTTAGATATATTTAGAGAAAGACAAAAACAAAAGATGATATAAAAGTTTGTGTCACTCTTTATACATATATTAAAAAATGTATAATGTTAAAGTAGCCTACATGTTACATTGATTAAATGTGATGGTATTAAATAATTGTATGCAATCAAAAATATATATAGCACAATCAATTTAAGAAATTCTTGAATTTACTAAGTCAAAGGGATTGCATAGAATTTTGCGAGAACACTGCTGATTTGTAAAGTTGTTGAAATATTCATAAAAAAATGTAAGTGAGCTATACTTTACATGTGCAAATAAATTAATACTAATGAGATCATGTTGGAGGCAAAGACAACATAACTAGGACACACTAAGTTTCTTAATGTACAATTAAACTGTACAATTACTGTTGCTCAGTTGGTCTAAATTTGACTGGTTTCTGGAGCAAAACTGATCTAAATTAAATTCAACTTACTTGTGTTTTATGCAATAAACAAGACGTGTGATATGAAGAAAAATATCAACATAAAGTGCAACCCTTCACCAGTTTCCATAGCTGTTCATACCAGGTGTCAGGCTCTCAGTCAAGTAATAGTCTTCAGGGTTGATGAACGGCAGCTGTTGCATCACAGACTCTTTCGGGATGAGGTACAACACTTCTGCCACACGTCCATCCTCTATGACAGATATGCGTTTGACAGAGTTTGTGCGTTTGATCCGGGTGCGATCCACATGCTGACTGCATCCTGAGCCGCAGAGCTTTCCCAGGCTGTTCAAAGTGGGAAGGGAAGGCATGGCGGCGGTACCTCAAAATTCTCAATTAGTCCTCAAAAATACACAAACTAGGCCAAAAATGCTTAGGAATTAGTCTTTTCCACAATAGACTGAATAGCCAGGCTAAATGATAATCGATGATCTTCCAAAAAGCCCTTTGACTCAGCGGTCAGAGGTCACGTACCAGCAGGTGAGTCTGCAGAAAGGGCCAAACTCCAACCAAAAGACCTCTGATCTTCAGATTAACAAATCTTAAATCTTCACCCAAATGCTCTCTCGTCCAGATTAAGTGATTGCCAGATGTAATGCTCCTAACCTGAAAATGATACGCCTTACCTCTGCTTCAGGTGAAGACCACAGGTGAACCCCATGCCAGAGTGGAAAGTAAGAAGTGGTTCAAATAGCTCCTTGCCTTCTCCTAAGCGGATTAACCCTGACGTCTACTCCGTGATTATCCCTTGGATGGGCCAAGCAATGCCACCATAGCAGCTGCAATGGTACAAGCTACTTGGTGAGAGTTTGCAGACACAACTAAAAATACTCTCTTCTTGATCCAAATCAAGAATGGTCAGCGTTTAGACAATTCCCTAGCACTGTCTGCTTTCTATTAATACACTCTTAAAAATAAAAGCCCTTTATTGGCATTTATGGTACCATGAAGAACCTTTAACATCCACAGAACCTTTCCACTGCACAAAAGGTTCTTTATAGTGGAAAAAGATCCTTTAGAATATTAAAATGTTCTTCCCAAAAATTGTTCTTTTAAGAACTGTTCACCGAAAGGTTCTTTGGGGAGCCCAAAATGGTTCTTCTATGGCACTGCTGCAAAACCCTCCTTTATTTTTAAGAGTGTACAACTGAAATGTAATGCACAAGATTAGCTGGAAATACATCTGTGCATATTCTGAGAGATATAGATCAGTAATAATCCCATAAACTCCTTTACATTTTTAATCACAGGATTTTCTAATTTAGAAAGTCTAATTTCCAAAGTAAAGCCCATCAGAATGAAATTCAATCTGATGTAACAACAAAAAAGAGACTATATTGCAGCAATAAACTAAATGTTAATTTTTCCATATATGCATGCAGATTCTGTATTTTTGAGCAATACATTTTGTACTATTATTAATATAAAAGCAATTGTTTGGCGCAATGCATAAACAGAGCTAAAATAAGAAAGCAAACTACTGTAGCCCAAATAATGTCTTGTGAGTCTAAAATGAGATTAGAGATGCAACAACCATTGCAAATTCATGAATCCCACCCACACCTCTCCAGTTGTTCCTTCCCCCCTGGAGGAAATATGTGAGAACATATGGCCGTTAATCAACACAGACTCGTTTCTCTGAAAAAAAAAAAAAAAGTCTGTTTATGCAATTGGGGATTGTCTCTTAAACATACAGTGTGTCTCTTTTGTTATGCAGTCATTGCAATCAGAGAAAACAAGAAACATCCGTTATTTATTATAATACCTTGAATATTTTCACATAGCTTTTCATTTATTTTGACCTTCATCGAATATTGTAACTACAGCTAAATTTTCTGTCATGCTGCCTGGTGAACCTTCATTATTATTTTTAATTTTAAACCTTACTGCCAACTTAACAGTTGGTGGTAAGTAGAATTAGAAAGAGCTTTCAGAAGTGATTGCATCCAGCCAATGTAAAAGTAAAGTATAGAAAAGTATATAATATAAATTTTACTAGATCATCATCATGAAATGAATAAAGATATACTTATATATTATATTATTCATTATATAATAATTTATTAGGTAACACTTTAGTATATGGACCAGTTATCACTATGAACTAGTTGCTTATTAGCATGCCTATTATTAACATATTGGCTGTTTATTAGTACTTATAAAGCACATATTCTGTATGACCACATTCTACATCCCTAATCCTACCCAATACCTAAACTTAACAACTACCTTACTAAATATTAATAAGCAGCAAATTAGGAGTTGAGGCAAAAGTTGTAGTTAATGGTTTGTTAATAGTGAGAATTGGATCTTAAAATAAAGTGAACATTTATTATAATAATACAAATATTTAATAATACAAAATGCAACCAGAGCACATAACCTTTTGTAACACCCACATCCAAACAAGATCTGATAAAAACTAGTTCAGTAAATGACATTGACATTTATAATTTGTAATTCAAACATTGTTTAGGAAACTAATCCTGTCCAAGAGTACTTTAGTCACTGGCATTGACTGAGATAATTCACCAAATGCTAATAAATCCTGGAGAAATGCACTAACCTACAGCCTTTATGAAATTACATGAAGAATCAAATTTAACAACAGACGTGTGCTGCTCTGACAGACCCCGCGGAGGGTCTTTCTGCAGATGCATTAGAGAGGCTGTGCATCAGCAGTTTATGCTTATTAAACAGACACAGGCTGTGATCCAAAACCTACAGAGATGCCTACATAAGCAGCATTTCAAGAAAGGTTGTTCAAAAAGGTAATCTAGCTTTCTTTTGGCCAAACTGCTGCATCATATTTATCATTGACAGAGAAGGTAATTCCGTAATGCAAAACTTTACTGAAAAATCTGGATGAAGGACACAGTTTATGATATATATTTTTGTGTGAGTAGACATTTACAATTCATTAAAAAAAAGAAAAAGAGAAAGAAAGAATCATGGAAAAATGGAAAATCATGTTCAATATTTGTGTCGCATTTAATATTTTCTAATATTTAATAATATCTTATAACATTGTAGCTCAGTAGGTTTTCGAAAAGAGCCTCAAAGGGTTTTGCAGACGCTGCAGATTTTATAACAGACTAAGGAGGATTAGTTTTTTGCATGTAATCTTTAAACTGTAAAATATTGAACAATTTACATCAACTGAAAATTAGATTCTAAAGGGAGGGGGAAAAGAGATGGATTTAGATTGATTGAGATGGAAGAAGGTTAGAGAGAGAGAAAGAGGGATGAACTTGTGTTTCTCGTGATGTTCCTCTGCTTCTGAGTGATATAGGGCTTCATGAATAATAGAGCTCTGCTGTTCTGTTATATGAAGCTCTCTTCCGATCTCTCTCAAATCCTTGGACATGACTCATGCACTGCCTTGACCTCAACATGAAAAGTGTTTCTAAAAACATATAGCAAGATAGTGGGGAATGTCCCAATAAACACTTTACTGTCTCTGGATGCTCTTGGTGAATATAAATTAGTCCAAAAATGGCAGTCAAATGCATTGGACAATGTTGATGCTAAAATGTTAAAAGTTAAAAAAATGCCTTCAGGCTAAGGTGGTTGACCGATAGGGGTTTGAAGAAGGTTTGAAGTGCATGCCGAAGAAAATGCACAGAGCTTATTTAGCCAATCAGAAACTCAGCTTGTGCATTTTGGACTGCTGACATCAGATTTGACATGTCTTTGGAAAGAGGTTAGAAAAATGGCTAAATCACTTTAAAGGGTTAGTTCACCCAAAAAATTAGCCCATAAATTACTCACCCTCAAGTCATCCAAGGTGTATATGACTTTCTTCTTTCAGACGAATCCAGCCGGGGTGTTGCATGTATCAGTGCGAAAGAAGTTAAATAAAAAGCGCCCATCCATTAAAAAAAATGTAGCCTCCTGTAGCGAATTGATGCATTTTTGTAAGAAAAATATCCTTATTCAAAACGTAATAATCACTTTAATGTAGCTTGCGCCAACAATCCTACACGGAAGCAGCTCCGGGCTGATGACGTATGAGGTCAGCGTTGCGCAAGCGCTGGTGAGTCTCGTGAAAACCAACGTTTGTTAACAGGTGCAAAGGAAACAAAGTTTCCTTACTTTAGCAAAGGAAAACCAGTCTCCTCTTGGCTTATATCGAAATCCTCCAACATTCTTCTTTACAAATCCTCGTTTTGTACTTCTAATTAGTGACAGTTGTTTTGATCTCTCCCCTGCGCTTCCGCGTGCGTCACTTCTGAGCGGCGCATGCGCAACGCTGAACTCATACGTCATCTGCCCGGAGCTGCTTCCGTGTAGGACTGTTGGCGCAAGCTACATTAAAGTGATTATTACGTTTTGAATATGGATATTTTTCTTACAAAAACGCATCAATTCGCTACAGGAGGCCTTTGTTCACCCTTTGTTGAGCTGTGTGAGACACTTTTTTTTAATGGATAGGCGCTTTTTATTTAACTTCTTTTGGACTGATGCATGCAACACCCGCTGAGTGGCATTAAACAGCTTGAAAGATCAAAGACCATTTTTAATATAACTCCCGACTGGATTCGTCTGAAAGAAGAAAGTCATATACACCTAGGATGACTTGAGGGTGAGTAATTTATGGGCTAATTTTCATTTTTGGGTGAACTAACCCTTTAATAACAGTAAGATTTGAAAATAAATATTGTTTTCGGAAATATATATATAAAAAAATAAAGATCAATGGTAACAAATGGGAATGCTTCTGTTAATCAAACATAAATATATAAACATATTACAATTATATAAATATTTACTAAAAATAAGATGGATGATGGATAGATAGATCAGTGCAGTATTATAACTTTAAAACTGCACAATATTTGCTGTAATCCTAAAAACTGCCAAGTGACTTTCAGCTGTTTCTGTTTGTGAACGCAGCAAATGCCAAAAACTGCCAAATCATCTTAGACTCTACTCAAATGACACTTGAACTCTAACATCATAAACATGCCTCGATCTTGACAAATGAACTTGGCATAAAACAGCAAACAGACTGAAGAGTTTAACATGCTCTTGAGCACTGAAATCATTCTTCCGCTGATATCAGTTCAGCATCTGAGCAAAACAACACTGGCACCACAGAGCACCAAAGTCAATGAATGGGCAGGACAACATGCCCATAAAACATCTATGTTTTAAATGGCGCACCAAGCTCTCACCATCTATGTCAATCTGTTTTCTTTTAGATATGTATTTTTTTAATTCACTCGCTTCCATCCTACATGCACCGGACGGACGAGTTTCTTCTGTGCAGTGGAGCATACAGCAAATTAGCTACAAATAAACACAGCACATTAAAGGCAGAGGTAGAGTGAGAATAAATCTTTCTGCTGCAAAGCAAACCGCCCCATTTCTCCTTAAAAAACCAATCCAGCTCCAGCGCACATATGAGAGACAACTCCCTTACAAAGGAAAACAATGCCACATGAAGACAAACCGAGCGCAAATACAAAGAAAACAAGCCTCCTGTAGAGATAAGCACATACATCATTTGCAAAACGACAACTGAGAGGTCCAAAACTACGCTTACCATCCAATCCGAAGCAGGACGTAATTTTTTGGGCGTAGTTGCACAGTCCATCGTAAGGAGGCTGTTTTTGCTGGTGCACTGCACTCTTCTCCCCCATC